TTCAAATAACGATTATTATCAATTATTGGACATATACACAATGATGTATACATTTGCACTACGTAATCATATTGGCATATTGTCTTTCTATCTAATTTTCTTTAATTTTATATACATACATACTCGTGCATTATACATATCGATATCCAATAGCTATAAATAGTTACGTATTTAGATTTTCGGAAAATATCAAAAACGACATGCGTTTCATTGATCGTTCAAGTTGTCGTGACCCTTTGAATTATTCTACATGTTTATATTCTATTACGACTAAATAATTTGAAGCTAAATAAACACAAGTAAAATGGTTTCCTGCGGGGAGCTTTTATAATGATTTAAAGATATTTCATTTAACTATTTTCAACATTGTTTGGGGAAAAAAAAGAAAAAAATTAACGTTTGTATCAGAAATATAGTTGACAATAATCGATCAATAGAAGAAATTCTTTGGTCTTTGTCGAAAATAAAACAATATTTCTGTTCAAGAAAATGATTAAATACCATTGTATGAATAATTCCGTGCAAAAAAAAAATAAAATAAAAAAATAAAGTAAACACACAATGTATACGCAGAAAATATCTCTATCTATTATGGCAGATACCACAAACGAATGTTTTAATTCTGTGGATTTTCACTATAAACAATTTATTGTTTGTAAAATTTCAGATAGATATTAGAGAAACATTGATAATTTTCAAACACATCATGCAAGTTTTTCCAACTTAAACGGTAAAATAATAATATAAAATTAGACATATCACGTAATAGTATTATGTTCTTTATTAGGTGTAATTCGGACTAATTCCCTAGCATTGTGTCGAGAGACCGGTGTGTATGCAGGTAAATCCGTAACGTACCGGGAAACGGTTTTTAGCTAGGTTTTCGAGTAGGTCAATTAACCAATCATGTACGGTTTACAGATCACATGCTCCTCCATGTACCGAAAACAGGTCACGTGCTCCTCCATGCCTCAAAAATTAAACGCGTACCAATACCCTGCGGGCTCCGGCCCGCAGGGAACGGAGCCCGCAGGGAATAATATGTTTAAAGTAGAATGACATTATATTTATGAGGTTAAACTACTGCTATTGAATATACACACTTATATGTTTTATGGACAACATATTTAAATATAAGTGCGGTAACTTATTGATAGTTTGTATAATCAGATAATAAAATACGTTGTACGTATATATTTCTATCTATTTATCAAAATAGCGTCTATAGAAGTTTTCCAAGTGTTTAAATCTTAATCAAGTTGATTTATAATCTAATAAGATTTTACAGAACATAACTACAATAATATCACCGAAAATAAACACATCAAAGAGACGGAAAAAATCAACATTTGCACTTATGCTCTAATTCAATTCTTTCAACCGAGCATAAATCATTTACAAGCTTAAGCCCTTCAACTTACATATACTACACTACAACAAAACAAATAAACAATTTATATGCAATTGGCTAAGAGCGATTGTTCCAGCCGTTTATTTGACGAGTTTATACACAGAAAGAAACAAAACTTATTCGTATCAAAACCACTATGACATTATACACAAAAGATTAACAAATGACAGGTTAAACTTAAACTGATTTCGTATCATTCAACGAAAAAACAAAACAAAAAACATATTTACTCATTAGATGTAATTCATGACAGGCATATAGGTCGTTAACTAACAAAAATGGAAACTCATACAACAAATAACATAACATCTTTAATTGAAAAATCTAATTCACAAAGAAAACTTGACTGTTAGACACATGTTTTCGGCACATGATTAAAGATAATTAGTAATTTGATAAAATGATCCTGTTACTTTAATTGTTCTACAAAAACAAAAACGAGAAAAATTTACAAGAAAAATGCCTCTTAAATTTAAATAATAATCACTCCTTTATTCAATGTTTGAATTTACAATAAAGTATACACATACAAAAATACAATCAAATAATATATTCATGAACTCTTAAATCGGGATGCTGCGAGCAGGCCACCCAACCCTAACTCCTTTTACTTATTTTTTAGGAGGGGGAGGTGGGAAGATCCTGTGGCTCAAGACCAGCATGGACGTCTTCTCGTCCCCCGAAACATCTATTTTTTTTTTAAACAAGCATTCCTGGCATATCATACATCAGAATCTGAAACTAGAAAAACAAGATTGTTTATATATGCATTGATTTTTAAATACTATATTTATACACAATGATTGAAAAAAACGTGTATTTTACAACATTATAATCTACATAAACTACCGCAATTTTCTAAATAATGTAAAGTTTAGATAAAACTCGTCTGAACAGCCGAAAATCAAATCCTCGAATGATTATTTTACACACCTATAGTACATATACATGTATCATACTTTTCACGTGCACATCCCCGCCAAAATCAAACACAGGCGACAATCATAACCCCGCTCAACCATGTACGCGGTAAGTTGCCTGGCAACGTGTGTAAATACATTTATGCTCTAATTCAATTCTTTCAACCGAGCATAAATCATTTACAAGCTTAAGCCCTTCAACTTACATATACTACACTACAACAAAACAAATAAACAATTTATATGCAATTGGCTAAGAGCGATTGTTCCAGCGTCGAATTTTAAAGTACGGGACAAATAACGCTATTAACAGAAACGAAACTGAATTACAATCCTAGATTTTTAGAAACGCTGAGAATTTAAGCCTACTTCGACAAGCATCTCACGTAACAGTTCCCTAACTCGAGTATAAGATAAGCAACCTCCTTTCTTTAATTTAAAAGAGTTAGTTTTCTTACATAAAGGTAAAGACCGAAAAACATGCTCTTCACTATCATTTGATAAATCAGCATTTGAAAAGTAAAATTGTTATGTTGTATATGGACATGTAACAACAGTTCATTTTAAAATAACAACTGAAGAACCACGACTTAACTGATCAGTTTTACTAGACCGTATGTACAAACTTAAGTAATCATCATTGAATGTAACATCGGTACATCTTAAATTTAACAGTTCTCCGATCATCAAAAATCCTGAAAACCCTATGATTACAATTGAAACTGATCTTAAATGATATAAAGAACAATTATCTTTGTCATGTAATAAAAACATATCTCCAATCATTTCTGCAGAAATAGGTTTTTTTTTTTTTTTTTTTGTTTTGTTTTTTTTGCACATAAGCATTATCCTGACCCTTCCGGTCATACTTGGGCCCTTCCGGCCATACTTAGGCCCTTCCGGCCAAACTTAGGCCCTTCCGGCCAGACTTTGGTCCTTCCGACCGTCTACCAATGAAACTAAATAGTCCTTCCGGTAATACTTGATTACAAATTCAACGTGATAATTATTTTAATGATCTGGAATCACGTTTAACTGCCAAAACAAATCCCTTAAACTTTCTAGAACCAAAAAGAGATCTTTTGTTTTTACCATGAACATATATTTTTCTGTCACAAAATTCTAAGACATCCTTAACATAGTTTTTCCCTGTAAAACTGTTATCTTCAAATAATAAAGGCCAGTAAGCAGCAGACTGCCACCTTAGTACAATCAGGACACCCATAGCTTTACACTCTATCACTTGTTTATTTGTTTTGCAGACTAAACTGACTAAACTATACTTACCATTTATGAACCTTCTGTTCGCTTTCTTTGCTTCACTGCGCTGTTTGATAATGGACGCAGCTGCTTTCTCAGCCTTTTTAATTCTCTTTGAATCCTCATCATCGCTGGCTAAATCGTCTTGCTCATATTCGTGTACAGTCAACCAACCACTAGGTGACTTGTCTGCCAGTTTTATCAGTTTATTGCGACGTTCAATCTTTTCCTTAGCAGTTTTACACAACTCAAGCGCCTCACTGTGTTCCCCTGACTCAATCAGTCCGCTAATTTGAACAATGAAATCCAACAGCTCACAGTTATGATCCAACTGAATCTGATTCCCTTTGTTTTTCAAAACAATGGATTTGTGAGTTTTGGCAACACTTCTTTTGCATATCTCTTTCTTAAAATCTGCAAACTTAGCATCAAAATACGATTTTATCTCATATAAACTGTCCGAGTTCATTCTTGAATTTAAATGAAAAGTTTAGATAAAACTCGTCTGAACAGCCGAAAAGCAAATCCTCGAATGATTATTTTACACACCTATAGTACATATACATGTATCATACTTTTCACGTGCACATCCCCGCCAAAATCAAACACAGGCGACAATCATAACCCCGCTCAACCATGTACGCGGTAAGTTGCCTGGCAACGTGTGTAAATACATATATATTAAGCACTATATGTCTATATATGAAATTGATAGAAGGAAGCAAATACTGAGGTGTAAATATACATTACCCGATTTTTAAATTCACTGATGAAATATTAAATACAAAAGAAGACAAATAATTATCATGAATTTCTTGAAAAACAAAACAAAATTGAATACCGGTAGACAGATATATATTCAATCTATATTTAGCTCCATGACCGGTATAAGGCATCATAGCTGTTATATGTGTTACCATATGGGAGACAACTCTGTCATGTTTACTAATACTTGTATATAGTACGTATGAGTGTAACTGGCAGCCCTTTTTTGTCCTCTCTGTATACGCTATATTCTAGGAATAAAAATCTGAACTAATTAATTGATTGTTTTCTTACCAAAATATGATGTAAGAAGTAAAAGAAATAAATTTGCAATAAACATAATTTAAAGAACTAACTGTTCATTCTGTAACACTTGGCAATCTTCGCTATACACTATGGACTTACATAAAGGACAAAGTCCCAGTATGGATTGGGAAGCCAGGGGCTTGGCAACAGTATTCAACATGCAAAGTTTACGTGGTCCATGGACCCTTAGATAAAACCAATTAAAGAAGAGGCGAAATGTTATTATTTCATGTTATGGGTTGGTGAGGAAGGAAGATAAATATTACGGATGAAGAAAAGGGAAAACTGAAAACATACCTTGAAAGGTTTGCCCAATATTGCAAACTTAGACCTATCTGATTTACAGCAGATATATTTTCAAATTTCACTTAACCTTTAAGACATATGTTATTTAAGGATGTAGATTCCGTTTTTGACTCTGCCCTTAACTAGGTTAAAACATAATAATACAATGTCCAGGACCTGTTCTTGCCAACTTTGACCCACAGAAAGAGGTGACATTGCAAGTAGATGCCTCGAAGGCAGGCTTGGCTGCAGTGCTCATGTAAAACGACAAAGGAATTTTATGCCACTTTATTTGGTTGCAAACGTTCTTATCAGTATGTGTATGGATGGCAAATAACCTGTCAAACTAACATAAATCATCACTGGCTGTGTTTAACACTCCTTCGGCTACAAATCTTCCACTACAGTTGCAGAAGTATGACAATAATCTTAAATCTGTGCCCAGAATAAATTATTCCATTAGCAGATACACTGTCACACAATTATTTGCCAGAAATATTCCCTGAAATTTTCGAATGTCTAAATGTTCTTAATCATGATGTTATGTCAAATTTACCCATAAGTGACAAAAATAAAAATGCATCCAACAATGATTCTCAAATTGTTATATAGGTTATTATAGACAGACGGTCATATGATAGAGCAAATCATCCAAAGAAGTTGACAGATTTCTGGACCTACAGAGACAAAATGTCTGCAGTTGAAGGTACAAATGTATATAATATTAATTTTGAAAGTGAAATTTTTAGTTACCTCTTCAAAATCAATTATGAGCACCTATATAGCCGTTGACACGTTTTATAGTAATTTATTACTGCTATATTTTCAACCGCGGACGCAAAAAAATTTTCTTCATTCGACAAAAGCACGTATACAGTATTATCTTAAAGATAAATTATGCTCAAATTTAATATTAGAAAGTTTCTTCCCTGTATTTACCATCATTCAGGCCAAAAGCGACGACTGTTATCTTCTGAACAGAGATCATTAATTACTGTACAGTATAGTGGTCTTAACTATGATTTTGTGTGTGTGTGTGTGTGTGTGTGTGTGTGTGCGTGTGTGCGTGCGTGTGTGTGTGTGTGTGTGTGCGCGCGTTTTGTGTGTGTGTGTTTTTTGTTGTTGTTTGTAATCGGTACCTTCTTCTTCTTCTTCCAATACTGTACATAACCCACTCTGGGGCATTGACGTACAGGGTGTATGTACAAAGTGTTGTGCGGCGAATAAGTGCAGGTTTAAAAGAAGAACATGTTAAAAATAAAATCGACTCCGGCATATTAGGGCCCCATGACTAGTCCTCCCTTGAAGGCCTCAATGTTGACTGCTGTGGCTAGGTGCTCTGGAAGCTGGTTCCACATAAGATGGCCGAAGGTACAAAGGAGAACTTCATGGTGTCTGTTCTGCAGAATGGGACATGGAATCTGTGTCCGTAGCCATGGCCACCAAGTGTCAGGGGGTGGAAGTACTGTGCAGCTGGGATGGCTATGAGGTTGTGCGTGATCCTGTAGACCATCACTAGCTTGGCATTGGAGCGGCGATACTGTAGAGTTGGCCAGCCTAGGTCTGTCATCATTGCAGTGGTTCTGCTGGTAGTTTTGTAATCGCCTTTTACAAATCGGGCAGCTCGCCTTTGAACAGCTTCAAGCTGGTTGATGTTGGCAAAATACCTGGTTACTGCAGAATCGGCTACTTAGATACTTGTGAAAAATCATCTTACATATAAATGCACTTAAGGAGTGCTTTAATGCGGACTTCTCTATATAAATTTTTCACTAACAACAAATGTTATGTAGTAAACAATTTATGTGTTACATACATGTATGTAGTGTTTGAACGTACAGTTGAGTTCACACTAAACTTCCCACCCTTGTGCACTTCTAGTGCACTAGAGCTGAACTAGATGTGCACTAGAAGTGCACTTCTAGTGCACTAGACCATATGACCAGGCTGGCCAGGGAAGTTGACACCTAAATGGTTTATTGGATAATTGTATATCAAGTGTGTAGAGGGGCATCCATTGTTACGCTGCTGAATGGGAAAAGACATTGGGAAAATATATAATGGCCTATTCATGAATATAAATAAGTAAATTTTAAAATCAGCAGTTTTAACATTTTAGGTGATTATCATGTTGAAGCTTAAAATTAAAATGTTTTTTAAAATCAAATTTATAGAATTAATAAGGTTAAATTTAAATATGCTCCGTAATGGATAATTAAATAAGTGTTTTTAAAGCTTTTTTAAATGGCCATATATTTCAATTTTTTTAGTGTACAAATGGTATAAATCAATGTGATAATTCTGGCCCAATTAATTTAGTTTGTTACATCATAAACTTTTTTTCATAAGCTCAAACAAATCAAGGAAAGGTTATATTTAAGCTAAAATATTATTTCTATAATATATAACTTAGAGACATCATGTTCAATATTGAAAGAGAATATTAATACATTGATTTTAAAACAATCAATATACTGTGATAATTTAGTATTCAACTGTGTAATGCTTGCATATGTTTATGCAAATAATTTAAATATTATCCATAAAATAAATAAATTTGATATCTTTATTCATTATTTCAATATTAAAAATTTAATGTATAAAGGGAATACTTTTATTGAAGAGGAAAATCTCAAGTCATGCTGTGTATTGGTATTTTCGGAGAGGGACTGTTTTCAATATACCACTCTCCTGCTGATAAGAGGGCCTCAGGGTAAATAACAAAGAACAGTCAATTTTGCAGATTTATAAGAATGCATTGAAATTCCCTGGTTTTCTCAAAATGCATGTTAGACATAAGCCTGGGATTCATCAGGCGTTGGCACTCAGTAAATGACCATAATTTTTGTATAATCAAATATACAAAAAAAAACTTAAAGGCATAAATGCATAATAGATATTATCAGAGACATAGATAGATGTTATCTATGTTTCTGATATTATTGTCTCTAAAGCGGAATTTTCTATATGTATTCATTTATCCACATTTCTTGCCATTCTGCATAATAATATCACGGATTTATATTACTATATACTATTAATATAAATCTGTGATAATATATAACTTAAGAGGCAATTCCTCATGTTCAAGATTGAAAGAGAATATTAATTCATTGATTTTAAAACATTTTAAAGATATACATAATTAAATTTTTTCCATAAAATAAATAAAATTGATAACTTTATTCAAGATTTCTACATTAAAAATGTAATGTATAAAGGGAATGTTTTTATACAAGAGGAAAGTCTCGAGTCATGCTGTGTATTGGTATTTTTTTTTTTTTGAGAGCGACTGTTTTCATTACACTGGCCTCCTGCTGATAAGAGGGCCTCAGGGTAAATAACAAAAATGCAAATGTATGCAATATTTATAATTGAAAATTTCCTTTTTTCCCCAAAATACATGTACGTCATCGATAAATGACTATACTTTTTGTATAATCAAATGTAAAAAATAATCTTAATGTCATAAACGCACGTTAGATATTATTGTCATTTATTGTCTTTGAAGTGGAATTTTCTAATCTTATTATAAAAAACTGGTTTAAAACCAATATCAGTGTTAACTATTCTACAAAGACTTTGTATCAATATTTTTTTCACATTTCTTGCAATTCTGCATTAAAATTTTCAGCATCTTTTAGTTTTTGAACTGGGAATGTTATTTCTTTATATTATAGATTTGACAAATTTGCCTTGTCAGTTTTTACGCATTTAGAAGATAATATATTTTAAAGAAAATATTATTTAAATACATGATTATAAAACTTTTGCAACTTCCTTTTCACTTTATTGCAGATCTGTTTTTTTTTTTTTTAATTTAATATCATACATGAGCAGAAAACAGTTGCAGGAGATTAAAGTGTCAAAAGTCATGCTGTGTATATGTGTTTTGATATAGTACCCTGCTGATAAGAGAGCCCCTCAGGGTAAATAACATAAGCCAGATTAGGCGATGTAAATTCTGTATTCTCTGGATGTTGGTGCAAATAAATTTCATTACAAATAGTACAAAAAGAAAAATGAATATTTTTGCAATTTATAGTAATCTCATAAAATTAATCATATTGCAGAATAATGTTACAATGCATGAAAAAAAAAGGAAAAAAGATTGGTGTCGTCTCAAAAAATGGAATTGACAGATTTTCTAATCTTTTTGTTAATATTCATGTCAGTTTAAGTATACAAGCATCCCAAAGGTACATATCAATATTTAATCCACACATATCAATACATACCACCATTATATATAAATATTTATTTTCAGAATAATATATATCATTGATATTAATCTTAGGTAAATCTCAGTTTGAGAAGGTAAGAGAGATTATACTAGACAAAATTTAGGCCAGTTATAAACATATTAATTCTTTAATGTATTAAAGGCTATTAATGCTTAAAATCATTACCTTTAACTAAAACAACCATAAGTTAAGATAAAAAATAACTAATACTACGGTATAATTACCTTTCCCCCCAAAAAAGAACTGACTTAATTTTGTTTGATTAGCATTTAAATGTTTCATATTTCATTACCAGATTATAATAAAATAGAATCATATTAAAAATCAATTAAGTTTGTTTATTTATGCACTTATCAACATTAAAGTTATTATTTATCTTTAAATTACTTATTCTAACAATTAAATTTTAAAGTACAAAATCAGTGAAATTAATGACTTTGAAATTTATTGTTCTAATATTTTACGCCATATTTTACAAAATCCAAAAATCACAATTTCAAATTTTTATTGAAAAACTATTAAACAGATATCTATATTTTCTATCTTTTTGTAAAAGTCAAATTGCTATTCAGTGAAATAAAAGGTAACTGCTTAATACATATAATAGGTATGGTGCACTACAAAGTGCACTTATGAAGTGCACTTCTAGTGCACCTTGAAGTGCACTTTGAAGTGCACTAGTAGTGCACATCTAGTGCACTCCTAGTGCACTTTGTGTAACCTTTAGTTTTATTTCACTGTTTAAAGTGACATTTTATTCTAAGCAGTTCCCTGACGATGGTGTGATGATAGAAATTCAAAATAATACCCTGTTATGTCTGGGGTGTAGCAACCATATGTAGTAGTCTATATATATAGCTTAGTCCAACTAGTTAGACTTGCCAAATAGACATCGAGCGATGTCTTTTTCCCTTTGATTGTATGAAAAAAAAGTTTGTAAAATGGGTCAAACCGTTCACGCCGAATTAATTAGGCTATATATAGCTAGGATCATTCTTTGTACATACATTTTGGGGTCAGTGAGTGAACATGTTACTGTAGTGTCTTACAACCTTAAATATTTAGTGGTGTTGTACCTAGACAACTTCTGTGGGACGAAACAAAACACAAACTGAGAAAGTTGAAGCAGAATGGCACCTGTCAGCGAAAGCAGTGACTTTTACTATGGATCACGTCTTTTATCACCATTAGTTCCAATACTTGGATTATCGATCGATCAGGTATCTTTCATAATTTAGCAAATATTAATGTAAAGTTGATATATTTTCGGATAGGAAATATATTGGATACTTTTACATTGCCCTTGATTTTTCAACATTTGTTAAGGTTATTTAACTATTGTAAAACCACCTGATTATTGAATGACTTCGATTGTATTTAAGAAGATGTTTTACTTGGAACGTTTTTTTCTTCTTCCAATCTATCATGCATTAATTTCCTCACCGTCTCATAATTTGAGTGGTCACCTTTTTATTAATGTATCCACATACTGCCAGTTTTCAATCACAACCACTTTTCAATCATCCCTAGAAATTCTTTATTTTTTACCTGATTTGTCATGTAACCAAATTGTAAGCACATCTTGCATTTACCTTGACTACATTTTATCAGCAGCAATGTCAATTTATGGCAAAAAAAAGAAAATAACCAGTATTTTTAGTTCAAAATATGTAAAATGTGTGTTTTCCACTAATCCTTTATTTACCCAGTTACAAAATCGCAATAATTTTCGAAAATAATTGATTTTAAAGACTCAGTTTTTTTTGTCAGTCTGCAGAAATGAATATTTAGTTTGACAACTGTTTCAATATCATTAAGTCATAATGTACTGTATACTGCACTTCAAAGCTATAATTTTAATATGTACATATTTAACATACAATTCTTAATTTGGAAGGTAATATGTCAGTAAAAGTAACAGTCACTTAACCAAGGAAAAAAATTCTCTCTAATAACTTTTCAGTAAGCTTTCACTAGAATGGGGTCAATGACCCTAAGATCTTAAAAATTTCACAAGAACAGGCTTTTTCTGTTTAATGCACATTGAGATGTACATCCATACCCCAATTGTGACAGCTTTACTACTGCAAATAGATATCAAGATTGAAAAATGGCATTATAAATAGGTTAAACTTGTTTATTACCATTTATCTGAAGTTGAGTTTGTCAAAAATTTCTTCAAAATACATAACTGGTTATATTTTAACATTGTATGACAATTTTTATGTGGTACAGTTTAATTTTTGTTAACTGATTGAAAAGTGGTTGTGAAATTTTGAAGAACAAGAAAATGGGTCAGTAATGATTTGTCCTCGATTCATAATAATAATTCAGGTAAAATTTTAAAAAGTTGTTGCATTTATTAGCTGAAATGATAATATTTGCAGAATTGTAAGAGAAATTTTATTTTTATAATTTTACTGTCAGTTATTATAGAAAAATCTGTTAGCTGATCGGAAAGAGGCAGTACGGGGATATCTCTAATTTCTATATAAATTAAAATTTTGTATATTTCATTTATAAATTTAGTTGTTGATCAGTTTGATGTCCTATATTTCAGATAAATTTTCTAGTATGTCAGCTGGTTGCAATGGCTATTGGAATTCCATTCCGTAATATGTTAGATCCGAGGAGCACAAGTCCTCGAGTGAGACATGCTGTTGAGCTACTGCTTGGGATAGCATTGGTCCTGTTTTGTTTTGGAAGGTACATCGTATTATAGATGGTCTATAGACAATATAAAGTTAAAAGGCCTTCAAGGGGAGCGGTGGCCAAGTGGTTAAGGTGTCTTCCTCTCAACCCAGGGATCATGGGTTTGAGTCCTATAATTGGGTCACAACCATGTTTCTTCATATGACACCAGTATTGGTTGGTTCCAGCAATTCAGGAAGCGGACTGGAAAGTGATTAATATATGTTGCAAGAATTTGTTTCGCAATCGAGCTTAAATAAATATGTTTTAACCAAAAGGCCTTCAATAAAATGTTGTTTGTTTCCCATCTCTCTTAGCCTATTCACATGAAACACTCAGGGCTGCAGATAACATGCGTATTTGCGTAATTACCCAATTAAAATGTCAAAAAAGCAATAGAAATAATAACTAAGGGTAAGAAAAAGTAAATAAATTCTTATTTATGCAAACTACATCGGAACTTGTGTGTAAAGACGTAAGTTATACTTATTTTAACGCTGTACATCAGGCAGATCATACTGTTTCAGACTGACTTTTAACATTTAAATTATATCAGACAGCTTGGAAATCTCCTAGGCCAATAAACCATAAAGCATAGTAGTAAGTAGCTTTTTTATTACCATACAAAACCTTCAACAGTCTACAATGAAGGTCAGAAATTTATGGAAAAATACATGAACATGTGCTTCAAAACCCAAATTGGTTAGAGAGGGTAGGGTAAACAATACAGAAATAACTCTAAGAAAATAGAAAAAACCCAATAGATCACAAAACAAGGGGTAATCACCCAATATATACAAAATGTTATCTGTAGCCCTGAACACTGCTACCCAAATCCTTACATATAATTATTTAGAAGTTTTATTAAAACATGTCCAGTGTTGAATCAAGTGCAATAAGCTGGACTTCAGTCAGTTATTGACCATCATGGCAGTATGGCGGATAGTTGGCAACACACAAGTTTTTACTCTCTGTCTTTCCCCGCACTTCCAACATTATAAGGTGCTTATGTTTTAGCAAGAGATATATAACATATTCAACTTGTAGTGGAAAGGTTTTACTTTTAGCATCAGATATTCCCATTAGAATAGATAAGATGACATATATATATAAAATACGAAAAACCTTGACCAGTATTTCAGTAGTTAATTTTTACAAATTGGTAATATTCTGTAAATAATAAACAAATTTTTTGTTTTTTTCAGTCAGATTATTCACTTGTTTATACAAGCAACCTTGGGTTACGTGCTGCTGCAGTTTGTTGGTCAGAAATGGATGCCAGTGTCGGTGTTTGTTGTAGCAATGGGTTATCTAGCTTGGTGTCACATACATAGAATGATCCTAGACTATGGTGGCTACACACTAGATATAACAGGGTATGTTTATACTTGAAATTCTATCATCACACCATCGTCAGGAATGGTGATGAATAAAATGTCACTTTAAGGTATTAGGACCCTAATGGGCACTATCAGGAACTAAAAAATTGACATCATAAGTCAGATGTATACCTTAAAGTACACCTGTATGCAAAATTTAAACAAAGTTTACCATACGGAAATCAAGTTATGACCACTTTTCTGAAGTCAAGCTAGGATGAGGGCCCTTTTTTAGAAAGTAGGAACCTTTAAATAATCTGCAATAACATTCTAATGAAAAATATTTTCCCATTAATTTTTGGTAAGAAACAAATAGTACCTTTTAGCTAACAATCCAAATAAGCAAAATTATGGTTTCTACTTAAAATTTATGAAATCTGTATAAAAATGTTACCCTACCCCATAGGGTTGGATATCGTTCTTCACGAAACGGTCCGATACCGGTACTGACGAAACGATAAGGGTATTTTATCGATACTGATACTGATACTTTTACAATTCCACATCAAACCCTTTGCTGCAACTGCAAGTATAAGAACTGAAGAGATATAACATGTAGTGCTAGAAAATAAATATGTTACATTACTGGTCTTTCTGAAATTTCATGCTGTAAAGTATACTTTTCTCAAGTTCCATGTTTTGTTGTTTTGTGTTACTCTTTTTTACAACATTTACACATGTTAATTGTAAAATACTTCTACTTTTTCATCAAAAGAACATGACATAATTTTAACACAGAAAAATATCTTATGCAGGACAGCAGTCTGCAGCTGAGAAGTCTACAAATTATTGTTTTAATCTTGATATCTCTACATCTGAAAGAATTTAAGACAGTTTGTTATCTATTATTTTCTTACAGCTATTATTATTACTGTGTAGAAATTTATTTCTGATGCTGATATTCTTTTTTAAATCACATTATTGTTTACTGTAATAAATGAAATCACTGGATTGGTTGGCTTACTTTGAAATTAGGAATTACTTGTAAGAAGTTTCATTACTAGATGTTTTTTCAAAGTCACTTATGTTTCCAGTCTGTTCTAAACATATTTTACCAGTAATTAACTTAGAAATTTGGAAATCCATGTATATGCACAGTCAGCACAGACTGTTTCCAAAATGACTTGTTTACATTTTCATGTTAACCTAATATTTGTCTTGTAGAAGTCATAAAGCAAATAACTATGCTTTACAAATAATAAGGATTTGGAATTTATTAATATTGAATTTACCTTTCAATTTTATACATCTTTTATTTTTCAATAGCATGCACCGTGAACATCTTGCTACAAAAAAAGGGTATTGTCCTCACCAAATTGCATAATTCCATACTGCTCAAATACGCAAAAATACTAGCCAACATTTGCAAAAAATCCTACATAACACTGTATATGAAATAGGTTTCAGTTGTTTAATCACAGATCTAAATGTGTAATACACACAAGTTGACCTTTGACAGGTGCATAATAGGCTATTCAAAAGAATATGCCTCCCTTTGATCTTGCTACTCTATCACCATCAAAGAGCCGCCGACATTCACACTTTTTGACTGAAGTTCTGTCAGCATTCTTTTGTTAAGAAAATGTATACATGTTTAATAATATGTCAGTGTTACACCAAAAACAAAAGGAGGCATATTTTGTTGGAATATTTTGGCCTCATTTATGTTCAAATCGTAATTCACGTGTGGATTTGTACATGTGGTAATGGAAGAAAAGAACCTGGAAACATTAAATATGTATTCATTATGAGTGTTTAGAGACTTAAACTGAAAAAAGGATTTAATTATTTTTTAAAAGCATTGTTTGAATTAACAATTGTCATATGTTGGATTTACATTGTCATTACGGCAAAAGCTGTGTGCGATGTGTTTGGAAGGACTGTGTGCGATGTGCCGATGATTACTCAAGTATTTGATTTGTTTTCTCGTTGCTTCTTTGACATTTAAAACTTTACCAAAATCAGTTTAAATAATTATATTTTCCTGCCGAGTACAAAAATATTATTATCTTGCACATATTAAAAAGCGGCACACTACTTTAACAGAAATATCGCCGCGTCACAAACTTCAACTTTGCCGCGAAAGCCGTACTCGCCGCATGATAATAGTAGTTCATAGTTTGTTTTACGAGTTTGTAGGCTGTTTTTATTTAAAAATCTTCTTATTTTTTGACATATTGACTATTAAATTATTTTTCTTAAAAAATTACAAAAGTATCAAATCCAGTACCGGTATTTTACGAAACGGTATATACCGGTAATTTACGAAGTTACTATTCGGTATAGGACCGATACCGGGAACCGGTGTCCAACCCTACTACCCCACCCATTTTTACCACGTGTCTGACCATTTTTTTACTTAGGGAGCCTAATTAAAAAAATTCTTAAAATTTACCGAAATGAGTGCCTGTTTTCAAAGTTTGCCTAAATTTTCAAAAAAGTATATTTGTTGATCTTGTAAAATATGAAATACTTTTACCGTCTAGTTTTGATTATATTACACTTTGAAAATATCAGGTACCATATTTATTACTATATTTAGCATAATTTAGCCAATAAATACCTATATAAATTAAAAAATCAAAATTAAACACTTTTTTCTTTCCAAATGGGACATGAGAGATACATAAATAATGTTAAAAGAAAAAAAGAAAGAAAAAAAAGTTGACCCTTCTGGGGATTGAACCCATGGCCCTCAATTTCAATGTAGTTAACAGTAGTTCTAGCCTATTTGAATACTCTTCAAAACGGAGGTAATGCATTAGGGTGCTAATACCTTAACTCATGAAATTAAATTTTCTGCATCCCTTACAATGGTAGACATATGCTTTCATTCTGCTCTGTATAAACTAGAACTTACCTCTTTTAAACTCACAAAATGTGACCAGGCTGGTTTAGAATATTTTGCTTTCAAGCAAATGATACTTTCCTTTCTGATCATTTAAGTCTAACAAGTACTCTCTGCGTGATATCATATTTGCAGTTAAGTAAACAATATTTTGTTTAAGAAGAGAAGACAAGGAGTATGGACTAAAGTACATTCAAATAATTTTAATACATGTAACACATTAATAGTTTTCTACATAAAATCTAAAGTTGTAAGTGAGAATTTTATTTAGAGAAGTCCACAGTAAAGCACTCTTTAAGTGTATTTTTATGTATTACGCTTTGTCATAAGTAATCTAGTAGCAAATTCTGCAGTAACCAGGTATACTTTTGGCAGCAACGTATAACAGAAACTTCAGAAAGTATTTTATTTATCATTGAAAATGTAATTAGTAACAGAAAACGGTACTTTTCAGACCACTTATGATCTCTGTTCAGAAGATAACAGTTGTTGCTTTTGGCCTAAATGATGGTAAAAACAGAGAAGAGAAAGATCTCAACCCAAATCAAAAATCTAAAGCAATAAGGTATGTTGTTTCACTTTAAATTGTTAAGTCAAGTACGAGTATTTAATGTGAAATTGTTATGCATGTAGCATCCTTTAAAGACAGTTTATTTTGATGGTAGTTCCATTTGTAAGAAAGGTAACATATTTTATTCTATTATATCTTATAGATTATACTTGTGTGTTAAAGGGACTACACTGAGGTTTAAAAGCCTAAAAACATAACATTTGAATTTCTTACATAAATGAGCTGAGGCACTTTAAACAGAAATATGTGCAAAGATAGCTAAGAAATATGCTTTGAAAATGATTGAAAATCGTATTATTTTTTGCCCTTCTTAGCCCTATTTGAGTGAAAAGTGTTTAAACGCCTTTCATTTTGGGTCATTTTTTTACAATTTGAATAATTATTCTGGAAAAACAAAGTGCGCAAATGATCTGAATTTTGCACAAAGATTAGTGGTCTAACCCTACATCAAATGGTTCATTTATCTGGATAAATATTTTCAGTCCCATCATGTCAAAAAACCTCAGTGGAGTCCCTTTAAATAGTAGATACCATTCTTCCTAAAACTATTCAAGAATATAATACACAATAATATACATATGTATATATAATTTATTTTAAATGTCTTAGTGTTTTAAACATTTTTTTTCCATATATAGTTTGACGCACTTTGCCAGATAGACCGACACATAAACATAGATTTGTAGGTTGTATTAATGTTTGATTATTCTTTTCACAGAGAAATGCCTGATGTTCTGACCTATTACAGCTACATATTCAGTTTCCACAATGTGATGTGTGGCCCCCTAGTGTTTTACAAGGATTATTGTGCTTTTATAGATGGCTCTTGTTATACTTCTAACTCGGAAAATAGCAATAATAAGGTGATATGTTTTTACATTGTATAAAATTGAATTGTTTAAAAGATTATCTTTTATCATTAACATACATTGTGCTGGAGGGGTTTTCTCTCTGCCTAGATCACATGATGTGTCATGTGATCTGGTCTAAGTTAATGCACGAGAGGCAAATACAAGCCACAGACAAGGTTTTGCAACAGTGATAATGTTTTTTTTTTTTTATTATACATCTTTTAAAGCCTCTACTCATATTTGTTGTAGAGGAATTCAGAATTCCATAAAATACATATCTGTTAAGCCAATTGCCAGAGGTCACAGTAAAGATTCCCTGTTAAAGTATGCAACAAATGGAAGCACAGAAAAGTCGAAGATAATTACAGATGCTTATGAGTAAAAGCTGTGTGTTTTAAGAAGTAAATATTTTCAGTTGATGTCCAGAGATAAAATCCTGTCTATACAGCAAACATTACAAAGTCAGTGTTTTAGGACTTTAATTTATTCACCTTTAAAGTAAAGAAATTAATTCCAGTAAATGTTCTGGCCATACAATACAATACAATACCATATCATTTTATTTATAATGAAAGGCCACCTGCTCAAAATACAAACAATAAGGGATCAAACATTTGACATTGTAGTGCATGGCTATAATATTATACATGTACATATTATGACAATGTTGAACGATGAATTATAGGAGAAATTGTTTAACATTCAAAAAGATATAATGTACTGTTATCCTTTCAATGTACTTTTTTTTGTTTTATGCTTTATAACTGAGTCTCGTTTGAGTGCACTGCTTAAAAATCTTGAAATTGAATAGATACAGGTACTATCATTTCTATTGTTCTAAATAATTGTTATGAATAAATGTTTGCTTGTTACTTTAGATGTCCATTCAGTTTTAAATTGTCTCTCAATTCATTATACATTGAACATATTAAAAGAAAATTTATTTCATTTTCAATTGCTTTTACATTTTGTTTTAAGGCAAATCTGGCAGAATCTTGATCTGACTGTATACAACACCTTTATTTTGTTGTAATACATTAATTTTCATAATCATTGTTTCTATTATCATATCACCAGCTGTTTCTTCTATTTTTCAGGGTATTCCGTCACCAAAGGTATGTATGAGGGAAATTTATCCTCAAAAAAATAGTAAATGGTAAAGTAAATAGTTATAGGAATATAATCCATGAATGAATATGGACATTACAATTCTATGGAGCCATTCAGCTATGATATCAAGGGTTCTAACCTTAAAATTTCCTCACATCACTCAGATATGTTAGTACAGAAAATATGCTCAGTAGTGATTCGGAAATGAATCATGTCATTATCAGTGTTTAAGATGAAACAATTGAGATTAAATCTTGAATTAATACTAGTTGTAAAGTGTTTAGAGCATGGAAGAATAGTTGCAATATTTGTGAGTTTCTAATTGACAGGAGGTATTTCTACAAAAACTAGTGACTGTAGTTATACTGGGGGCATTGATGATGATGGAACCATTCATAGCGCCATGGTCAAGAATGAAAGGTAACTTATAACACATGTTAAAGGCACATTATGCCTCAGAAATCTATTTTAAAAAAAATTCTTCAGAAGATGTCGAACATGTGTTTAATAATGTTAACATAATGGATGAGGAGCATGTTATATGTTTTACAACTGAAAACAGTAGTGGTGAACATGCAGTTATATGTCGTAAAGATAGCAAAATGTATAAAAAGTAGTATTTTGACCTTCATACAAACTACTAATTCACTATAATTATACCAAATGCGAACAGAACTAAAGATACAAAAGATAGTTCATGTATATAGCAAATAAGTATATTTTTGGAAGCTGTAACAAGATACCAAAAATAAACAATGTTTGAGAAATAAAAATGATAATGGGTCTTTAAGTTTTATCAATATTAACTCTAAGCCTGTTGGCAGCATTTGAATATACCAGTGCAACATGTGCAGACCAAGATGAACCAGCACATTGGTATGTGTCTGATAATGGTCTGCAGTGTTGGCTATGCAGTCAGTACTTATTTTGAAATTTTCCCAATAAACGATCAATGATTTTGCATAGATTAAAAGATGGATGATGTTAAGATACTTAGCATTAAAAGAGTTAAGCAGTATGTCACTAGATGAGTGAACAATGTTTCAAAAATTAAAAAATTTACTAGATCTTAATGAATATATTACGGTATTTACCACTATACATATGATTCTGTACATGATGCTTTACGCAAAATTGTCAATAGACTGAATTTACTATTTTTAACAACAAATTTCCACCACCTTACTGAAGAAGAAAGGATATTTTTGCATTTTTATAGTATATCTGGATGGTTTTTGCATTAACTGTACTAACTATTCACTTTTTTTCTCCCAATTAGACGATATTTTCACAATTTCAAATACTTTTATATAGTTTCTTATAAAGATTAGTACCTACCTCGGGGCAGGCATTAAGACCCTTTGCATTTTAGTGCTAATATTATTCTGTATAGCTGGTTCAAGTTTTAAAGGTTGGAATGTTCATTGTGATCATATAAGTGCTATGTTTATTATGTGATGTCAATCCAAAACTTTGTACTGTTTCTTGCTCAATTTTATCTACTCAAGGGCTCTCAGGCAACACCCCCCCCCCTTGGTTAAGTCCTTGAACTATAAATCACTTGCCCATTCACTGCAGGGGTTTAACCCTGCAATGAACATTGGATACATTCATGTGAGGAAGCTATCCAAATAGCTGACAGAAGGTCAGGTGCCCGCATATGCCTGAAATAATGCACAAAGTGGCACCAAAGATCTTGCTCCATCAGTAATCTTGAATGTTGCTATGTCACAATTGCAGAGTTGTTGTGACTTAAAGAACTGCAAAGAAGCAAACAAACATATGCTATTTAATATCAAAACTAGTTAAAATAACAATGAACCATTCAAATTCAAAGCAGTACAAACTCATCATAGAAATAAAGGGATGTTGAGGTTAAGAAGTTACGTTTATTTTGCAGATGATGACTTTCTGTACAATACAACATGGATATACAGGAATTTTTATTTGCTATGCTCCATGACCATGCACAGACCAATGTACTATTTTGCCTGGAAACTAGGTAAGATAAGCATAATTTTTAAATTAAGCACCAATTTTTGAACATGACAAAGTGCACCTGTACTTACTAATTTCTTGTTTTATGGTTGTTAACTTCAAACCACTTGCTCCTCACTGCTGTGGGTTTGAATCCCAGCAGGGACTTTGGATTCTGTCATATGAGGAAGCTATCTAGCTAGCTTATGGAACATCAGTGGTTCTACTTGGGTGCCTGTGTGTGCTTAAAATAATGCAGGAAAGGATATCTTCACCAGTAAAGCAGGAAAGTTGCCTTATGACCTATACTGTGTTGGTGAGATTTAAAAAAACAAAAACTCCTTGTATAAGTACCTTTCCTACATGTAAATGTCAACTTCTCCACATAAATGATGTGTTCAGTGCAGGATGAAAGACTTAAGGCTTATTGAGACTAAATATATTCCTTATTAATGAATATTAAAATGATTTAGCTATAACATGTACTCCACTGTTTGCAGGTGAACTCGTGAATAATTCATGTGGACTAGGATTTTCTGGTTATGATGATAAAGGAAATTCTAAGTGGGATTTGCTAGATAATGTTAAAATCTACCAACTAGAGGTAAAGTAACCAAGGATTTTCTAAATAATGTTAAAGTGTGTCAGTTACTGAAATATTTGCTAACTAATATTAAGAGGTTTTCTCCAACAGTGAAGCTTGAAAGTCAACATAATTATGACCTTTACAATGTTGGTGTGACCTAAAATCATTCAAAAAAAAGGAAGAAAAAAACCCCAAAACTTAGACGTACTATGTAATGTTTAGATCTATGAGCCACAGGTTTTGTACTGTGGGATTTACTTAATCAGTACTGTCTGGTAAAGGTATAATTATTTGATATTATCTATATTATCAGGGATAAAAAATTTCAGAACCACCCATCCTGCAGGATGAGTAACTTAAAATTTCTACCCATCCTACTTGCTTTGCTACTCGTCCTGCATTTTATGCATGATTTTCTAAATAAATTTTGCCAATGCAATAGACGGCTAGAATTCTCATAATCAGTTTGTTTACATTAAAAATGAAACAAGAACCGGAATCATATCTTAAGTTTTAGCTTATGTATAAATTAGGCACTTTATAGGGCATTGTCATGCACATAACAGTCACACCCTTATCCAATAAACAATGTGTTCAGAGCTTTTTGAAGTGGGCAATTTATACAAAACCTAAAATTCAAGCTTTATTTTGGTTGTTCATCATTAAATGTAAACAAACTGATTATGAGAATACTAGCTGACTATCCCATCGCAAATTTCCACTCGTCCTACTGGATGAGCATACTACAATTTTTAGCTCACCTGAGCTTGCTCAGGGTGAGGTATGAGGATCGGTGAATGTCCGTCGTCTGTCGTCCGTCGTACGTCCACAATTGCTTGTGAACACTCTAGCGGTCACATTTTTGAACCAATCATCATCAAACTTGGTCAGAATGCTTGTCTAGTCAATTGCTTGGATGAGTTCGAACATGGGTCATCTCTGATGAAAAACTAGGTCACAGGAGCTAAAAATAGAAAAACCTTGTGAACACTCTAGTGGTCACATTTTTGACCCAATCATCATCAAACTTGGTCAGGATGCTTCTCTAGTTGAAAGCTCGGATGAGTTCGAACATGGGTCATCTCGGATAAAAAAAGTAGGTCACAGGAGCTAAAATAGAAAAACCTTGTTAAACACTCTAGCGGGTCACATTTTGCATCAATCATCATCAAACTTGGTCAAAGATGCTTGTCTAGGTGATTGCTCGGATGAGTTCCAACATGGGTCATCTCGTTGAAAAAGTAGGTCACCGGAGCTAAAAATAGAAAAACCTTGTTAACACTCTAGCGGTCACATTTTTGCATCAGTCATCATCAAACTTGGTCAAGATGCTTGTCTAGGTGAAAACTCGGATGAATTCGAACATGGTCATCTCGGATGAAAAACTAGGTCACAGGAGCTAAAAATAGAAAACCATGTTAACACTCTAGAGGTCACAATTTTGCCTCAATCATCATCAAACTTGGTCAGGATGCTTGTCTAGGTGATAGCTCGGATGAGTTCGAACATGGGTCATCTCGGATGAAAAAGTAGGTCACCGGAGCTAAAAATAGAAAAACCTTGTTAACACTCTAGCGGTCACATTTTTGCATCAATCATCATCAAACTTGATCAAGATGCTTGTCTTGGTGATAGCTCAGATGAGTTTTAACATGGGTCATCTCGGATGAAAAACTAGGTCACAGGAGCTAAAAATAGAAAAACCTTGTTAACACTCTAGTGGTCACAATTTTGACTCAATTGTCATCAAACTTGGTCAGGAAACTTGTCTAGGTCATTGCTGGGAATAAATTGAACATGGGTCATCTCGGATGAAAAAGTAGGTCACCGGAGCTAAAAATAGAAAAATCTTGTTAACACTCTAGTGGCTACTGTTGTGATCCAAGTATCCTGGAAATTGGTCTGAAAGTTTGTTTTGATGATTTCTAGGTCAAGTTTGAATATGTGTCACCTGGGTAAAAAACTAGGTCGCACTGCTCAAATATGGATAATCCTTGTTAACACTGTAGTTCGAACATGGGTCATCTTGGATGAAAAACTAGGTCACACCGCCCAAATATGGAAAAACCTTGTTAACATTCTAGTGGTCACATTTTCGACTCAATTATCATCAAACTTGGTCAGGATGCTTGTCTAGGTAATTGCTTGGATGAGTTCGAAATTGCATGTGGAACTAGGTCACCGGAGCTAAAAATAGAAAAATCTTGTTAACACTCTAGTTGCTACTGTTTTGATCCAAGTATCCTGGAAATTGGTCTGAAAGTTTGTTTTGATGATTTCTAGGTCAAGTTTGAATATGTGTCACCTGGGTAAAAAACTAGGTCGCACTGCTCAAATATGGATAATCCTTGTTAACACTGTAGTGGTCACATTTTTGACTCACCTGTCATGAGACTTGGTCAGAATGCTTGTCTAGGTAATTGTTTGGATGAGTTTGATAAGTCAGGTGAGCGATCTAGGGCCATGATGGCCCTCTTGTTTACTTGTCCTGCCTCAATCACTGCTTGTAAATACGAGCTGACAAGTGGAATTTTTTCGATCCCTGCAAAATGTCACAATCTTTCAACTACAGGTTCAGACTGTACAGGTTGTCTCTGATTTTTATAAATTATACAGCAGCACACTATTTCCTATTTTGAAGAATCAGTGGAAATAAACATGCATAGTACTAAGTCAATCTTTCTCATTTTACAGACATGTACGAGTCTTAAAGTGAATGTAGATTCGTGGAATGTGACAACAGCTCATTGGTTGAGATATAGTGTGTATGAGCGATGCCCCGCCTCCATTGCTACATGGGCAGTATTTATAATAAGTGCATTTTGGCACGGATTTTATCCTGGATATTACATGGCATTCCTCACTGCAGCTCTCTTTACAACAGCTGCAAGACTGGTAAGCTTTATAAAATTGTATATATTTGTACATAACCAAAGAAAATTTTTTCTGCATCATGAAAGGCAACTAAAAGTATTTCAAGCCAAAGTTTTAGTAAGTACAACTTACTTGAACAAGGAGATGATCTTTTGTGTCATCTGCTGTAGAGTAGCAGCGACATATAGGGATAACTTCTTTATCATTCAAAACTTGTCCACACTACTCATCAAAAGTCACAACATAAAGGGGAATAAACTGTCCAATCCGTCCTCAGTACAATAGCTTAATTGACTACCATCAGAAGCCTCATGTGATCACTGAACATTCTTGTTATCTGATTTGGCATTGTTTGTCCAGCACATCATCTTTCAAACAGGAAATATGGATACTGAAATGACTGTTAAAATGATAAGTTACAGTTACTTTTGTTTGAGGGGTTTATGTGGCTCATAAAACATTGAAGTAGCCACACACGTGTGATTTCATTAGAAAATCTGTTTATCTGTAGGTGAGTCACTCTTTGGCATAAACTTGGAACATAAAAAAGAAAACCTATTTTAAAACTTCATTTATGGTCACATCCGGAGTTTTTGCCAGTAGTAATTTTTCGTGCTTAAATTTTGTTTTTGTCTGGGGCATAGCTGAAAAAGTAAAAGAGATATGAGATTAAAACTTCACAGATAGATA